GTAATATAATTCCTCAAATTTCTTCTTCACAAACCTTTCATTTAATCCGAGTCCAAAGTTGAAAATCATAAGGTCAAACTACAGTAACAATTTGAAGGGTATCAGTAATTTGGACACAAGCTTACTCGTATGCATGCTCGATCTCTTGTTTCCCACTTGAAACTGGTTGGTAATCTCTGAACCACTCGCAAACGTTCAGTGGAACCTATGCACATCGAATTTAAAAGCGTTATTGAACCAAAAGACTTGCTCTGTATCTATACAAAGAAATATGCTTCCGCTCTTACGTCAAGAACCTTCTTCTCAAATATGTCGAACTTGTTCAAGAACAGCATGAAAGATGTTTTCTGCGTAAGAGAACCAAGTATTTGTAAATGACCTACCTCAAGCGTTTCATTTAAGTTGTAACCGATAACATAAAGAAAATCAAAAACCTCGAAACAGGGCTGTTTCAGGACCCAGTCGAATAATTCCTTGGTCTCCATCATCCTGTTTTTCTGCTCATCCTCAAAGAGCGTTTGGTCGTACCTATGATCAAAACCCGGTTGTGATTTGGTAACTTGTGTAAAGCACAAAGATATATTAATTTACCATGAAATGAGCTTACTCGCTGATTGCAGCACAAAATATCACAGCAGTCACACCTTCAAACAGATGGATCCATTTCCTTCTCTCATTTCTTTGTCCACCCACATCAAATAATCGGTACACTTCACCACTTTTTTTATTCTCTCCCACGGGGCTGCATAAATCAAGTTTTATCTCATATAACACTTCCTGGGTAATAGATTGTTTCAAGTATATTCACCACAACACTGAATTTGATATTGATTAGGAATTTTTATGATTCTACTAGTACATAAAAATGAGAAACATAGAATCCAAACAGGTGAATTCTTTTACTCAATTCGCGAAAGAACTACATATCACCGACAGACTTCGTGAAAGATAGAATCTCCATTAACGACCAATTCCCAGTCCCCAATTTCCTTTTAAGCTGTTACCTCTCTACACAAATGACGCGATGATTGTTGCTGAGCTGTCAACACAGCTACATTTCGACTACAACCCGCCTAGGCTATTATAATGTTCAAACACTAGACTAACACAAGTACTAATCAGAAAATTTCCCAGCTGTCTAAATAACTGAAAACTGAACTGCAAACAAATGCCAGTTGAACAGGCAGAAGAAGAAAAATACAAAGGAGTTGGCACCTGAACTGTATTTCCACGACACCAGTTGTGCGAACTCTTGCATAGAGAACATCCTCCTGAAGCACCAACATACAAAAATGCACCAATGACGACACATGCCAGAGAAAATGCAAAAAGCTACTATTTGTTGATGGCATGATTCTCTGAGATTGAAATTTTATCCAACCAGCTTAAATCATGACTTCAAATGTTCCAAATACCTTGGTTGGAATATAATTCAGATCTGATAATCTGTTCAGGTTCTCCATCAGATATTTCGTACAATCAGGAACTTGAAGCTCATTACCACGAGCACATGTTTCCTACAAAAAGAAACATCGGATTATTCAAAAGAAATTACGAATCGTAGTATGGAATCATTTGAGTCGTATATGCAACTTTGAGACAAACACACCTGGATTGCAGGATCTTTCCATAGTGTTTCTATTCCCTCAGCAAGGTCCTTGGTAAGACGTGGATAGTCTAACCTAGCTCCAATTTCAGAAAGTCTCTCTCCAATAGCCTGATATTAGGATAACAAAGTGGCTAAGATAAGATTGAACATGTAACTGAAAACTTTGAAAAAACAGAAATTTTACCATATTTTCAGAGGATAACGTATATTTTGCAGAATCTGTTTCATTTTGAGCAAACTCCTTTGTTCCATCATGCAATAACTGTTGAAAACATAAGAGTATCTATTAAGCAGCTACATGTACGACCACATACGAGTGTTTCTCAAAATTTGAAATCTAAAGAAGTGGAAACTGTAAGCAATTAGCCATACTTTTATAGTCTGATAGACATTGGCGTGGATGACTGGAACGTAGCTCTTTAGTTCGGCTTCATCAAATCCCGTTTGAAAGAGAAGTTTTATCTGCAAGTTGGCGCAAGCTTGTCTCATTCAATTGCCAAAAATAAGTTGAAGTAAAAGAAGACAATTATCAATTTTCCGCTTGCCTGCTTAAAAATTGTAGATTTTCCAGATTCTCCAGCACCAAGCAGCAGAAGCTTCCGAATATGCTTCTCAGCCTTTGCTTCTTGCTCTATCCGTCTTTCGATTTCAGCAGCCTGTGGATTAATTCTTGGTAATCAGAAATTCGAAGCATGTATCAAATGGATAGTGTTACAAAAGGTGAACGAACCTGTGCATTCTCATCACTATCTTCTGTATGATGCCGACTTCTGCTGCAGAGTAAGCCCATGATTCCCTGTTCGCCGGGATTTAGGCAAAATCGGAACCTGAAAAAAGCTGGGTCGGAATCTCAAATCGAGATTTAGGGATTGAGAGAAACTGGGCTCGTGGGGGAGAAGATTAACCGTAAATTATGATTTTACTCTTTATTAATAATAAAAACGAGAAAACCCCAAAACAAAATTGCACATTGGTGTTTCGAACTCTGCGCCAATTCGCTTTATCTTGGGAATTTAACCAACTGAGATGCAGTTGACACTACGTTTTCTCTCGCACACATTTTATATAACTAATATTAATATGTTTATCATAGTTATCCCCTCGCCATGG